CCAATAGCAAGTCTAAAATAAAGATTTTTAATACCAAGCTAATTAAACCATAAAATACTTATTTTTGTCTGAAAACAAAGTACTTTATATAGAATGCATTGTAATAGATCTTGTAATAGATAATGTGAGGCTTTTGTCCTTCTTAAATGAAAGAGCAGCTTTAGAATTCCCTAAGGGCCTTTGTAGAATTTATAATTACTATGGACAGGATTTGTTACCCTACTTCCATATTCTCCTCCTACTCACCAAACACCCTCCAATCCATCAAATGTTTCCCCCTGCTTTCCTTTATCATTGTTCTTACCTACTGCTGGTTTTTTTGTGGCTCTTTAAGTCCCTTATTATTGCTCATATTTCATTTTCTGAACACAAACCACCCTGTTCTTTTTAGGAACCATATAAAAAAGTAAAAAACCATAACAAACAAAAAGTATTGCTATTATTGAAAAAAGAATAATTATAGATTTTAGAAAGAACCCAAGATCTATTAAAGAACTTGTAGATTTAATTTGTTAAAAAGAAGGTAAATTGTTTTCTCAATATTAAAAAGAAAATTCAACTTAATCAACTTAACCAATCAATTGGTGAGAAAAATAAAAGTAAGGCCGTATAGAGTCAAAATATAATCATATTTAAGGGCAAGGTATAGAATGCAGAGAACTCAATAAAGATAAGAGAAAATCTAAGAATCTTGTGATCCAGGAATTATTGTGATTAAAGGTCAATAAAGTTTTAGAATAGAGCTGTGGATATAACATAGAGGTACAGTGCTTGTGTAACATGTTGCAAGACTCTGGGTTATATCCCTTGCAATACAAAACAAACAAAGTTTGTCCTAGCTTGTGAATGTAGCTCAATGATAGAGTGCTTGCCTAGCATGCATGAGAGTCTAAGTTCAATATCCAGCACTAGAAATAAAAAAGTTAGGACATATGAAGAGGATAAAGAGCTTAATTGTTTTATAGACAACACTTTTTTTTCTATAGCATTCACACTGGATCACATCCACATGGGGAAACCACACAGAATCCAATTTTGAGTATCCATACAAATGGAGAATAGAAAAGATGGATACAAAAACAACATATCTGGTGTTAGAAGTGGAAAGGAATATACTCCATTACCTTTCAGTAAATCAGTAAATGGAAGTTAAAGGTTGTATAGCCAGCCTCCTGATAAAAGAGTGATGATTCATGACAATAAATAGCAATATGAAGAAATAAAATTATGTTTCCATGAGAAAAGTTCATCTTTGTCTCTTTCAAAATACAGACGCAGCAATAATTGACTTCATATTTACTGTATTAAAAAAAGGTTTGAGTAAATATAAGCATATATATGATACATACACATATGCATGCATATATATATGATAGCCTTTGAATAATAAGTTTATAAATTATTGAACAGTGCCTTAAAGATTATTTAGTTCTTGCTATAATAAGTTGTATGTCTAAGACTTAGATTGACAGGAAAGAAAAAGTGAGATTTCCAAATTTTTTGACCCAACACTCTATTACAGTATCTAACATTTCAGGCACAGAGATTTCAATTCCCTAATACTGGCATTTTTATTAAATCTTTCTAAGGCTAGTATATTAAATTAGCACAGCCATGATATTAATTAGTCCCTTTTCTCTAGATTAAAAAATGGCAAGTAAAATAAATGAATGATTCAAGTAAAAAAATCCATATGGTAAAGAGAAGAGGAAATGTTAAGAGGATTCATCTTAAATTAGCTTACTCTAGCTCTATTGATAATTAAATCATACATTTTTAAAAACAACTTCAAAATATACACTTTACCTTTTAATTTAATCTACTTTATTCTTTACTGAGTAGAAAGAAGGAATGACCTTTCCAGGCATAAAGTTAGAATAGCTATATTTCATTGCTAGAAAAAAAATTCAGTATTTTCAAGCTGGAAAGATAGAAATATAAATTAAATAAAAATCACCTTTATTTCACTTTAAAAGACTTCAAAATAATTATGCATGGAAAACTTCATGGTAGCACATGTTAGTCGCATGCCTGTCTTTAGTGTCTTCCTATGAATTAAAAGTGCTTTCTAATCATTAAAAAAACTCCATGTTTATACTAATGAACAAGCTGTTATTTAGGACATAAAAAAACAGCAGAGAAAAAATGTCTATTAAATTAGGTTACAGGAAGAATATGCACACACAATAATTACTATCATCAACTATTTTACTGGTTCTTATTGCTTCAAAAATTTTATGTAGACTGTATTAAAGACAATATGTACATTTAAAATGTTAAAATAGGAAATTGAATATGTGTAATAATATTTAATAATAAGAATGCATAAAACTGATAGTAAAATATTATAACTTTCAGATTTTTAGTAATAGTTTCTCTCCCACAACATAGTTGACTGTTTTAGGTCACTTCAATGCACTAAGACAGAACAAGAGCAACTTGTTAAAGACTAATCTCCCCTCTAATTTTGTTGAATATTTTTAGTTCCCCAATAAAACATGACTTCTTTTACAATGAAATCTAAGGAAATTACAAAACTGTAAGAAATCCTTTTAATTACCATACCTACAGGAAAATAACAATCTCAAACAAATTACACTAATGGGCTTGCTTGAAGAACTGCCAGTGTTCAGCCCTTTTACTTCTCAAAAACCATTGGTGAATTTCACTATAATTTTGTTTAAATATAAATTTAATCATTCTTACTTCCAGCACTGACGTTTGCCTGACAAACCATCAGTAAAGGACATTATAGGAGCATTATTCTATTATCTTAATTAGACATTGCATTTATCACCTTGTGTTAATATAGCACCTTGCTCCAAATGTGTCAATACTATAAACCTTTTATTTCTTAACCAAGACACTCTATGGCATATGGGATATATGGCATTATGTAGAAAAATCTTTATCAGTCACCTGCACCATTGTGGAGATCCTGTGCTTCAGATACATTGCATCTTTGTGTGTGTGTGTGTGTGTGTGTGTGTGTGTGTGTGTGTAACTAATATGTAGACTAGTCTAATTACATTTGAATTTGTCAATTAAAGTTTGATAATGTCTACAAACAATTAAAACATGTTGCTGGAAAAAACTTTTTTTAGTGAATAATCTTATATATCTGAAAAACTAGAGGATAACAATAAATAACTTTTTGAATACCCATTTGCCTAACCAACACGGTAAAGAGTAAACTATTCTTCAATAAAAGTCTCAAAGTAATACATAAAACATGGATTCCCTGACAGAGACTTTGGCACTATTCTAGCAATCAAAGTGCTTTTATCTGCCCAGTAAGCCTAACCTAAAGAAAGAGATAATGTATCTTGGTCAAATGCACTGAAAGAAATATATACAACAGTTACCAGTTCAATAAACATGTTTACAACACAAATGCTTAACTTGGTCCAACAACCCACTCACTTCAAACCTTGGCCAATAAAACAATATGCTAAAATAAGTGTCAACAACTGTAGGTACTTCATTAATGATAAGAGACTATAATCCACTCAGATTACTTACTCAGTTATCTTAATGAAATGTACATCAGAACCAGGATGATAATTTTACACTTTGATACACAATAGAAATTTGTTTACTAATATAGCATAGGAAATATGCACAGGATGTGAAGTGACAGAGTGTTTTAATTCAAACACTGTACTGAGTAACTTGGTCAAGAATGATCAGTGTAAGCTCTTCTAAGCAAATAATGAAAATGTCTAAGTGCAAAACTTTTTAAATCACATTCAATCACTTTTAACTAAAACATAATTTGGGTCTGTGTAAAACAATCTATACTCACACAGTAAACACTGAAATTTCATATACAAAAGTCTCAACTTCAGTGGTATCAGATTGTCCATTTATTAATACTTAAATTCTGAATCTGACTATGGTTCTCTATGTAATCTCAGCTAAATCTTCAATTTATGAACTATTCATTTGAGGTCGCCATTATTCAATTTATGAACATTACTAAAGGAAATCCCTTAGGAGAGAAAAAAAACCAAAAAACAAAAAAACAAGGAATTGTAAATGACACCTAGAGAGAAAACTAGGCTTTAATCCCTTTTCCTCAGGCCCAACTGGGTGAGTGACTAGGGAGGACATGTCTTCTTTGTGGTGGTGCCCTCTAATGACTGGAAGGACCTTACTTTAATAACCACTCTAGGTGCAATTTGTTTTAGCATTTACACCACTGATGGTAGGAAGCAATCTTCTTTAATGGATGCTAAAAGGCTTCAAGTGAAATCTATAATTGACAAAGGCTTCATAGAAACAGGTAATTAAGAATAATATTAACAAGAGGCCCTACAGCAAAAGCACTCAAGCTTTCACAGAAAGCCTCTCTAGGAAAATATTTAGTAAAAATAAAAATTTTAAAAGAATCAGGTGTGGCTTCTTCCACTTTATTAACTGCTCCCTGGGTCTGTATGTTTGTTAAAAAGATGACAAGTAGAGTTAAGCTTATTGTGCCTAGAATAATCCACCTGCTAATATTATTGGGGTGGGAGGAAAAAATAATACAAAAGATACCAACTCAAAGCAAAAGTTGAGACAAGTTCAGTGCCTGTCTTCAAAATAAAAGCCGTTTAGCTGAGTTTTAGTAGCATAAGTTTAATGGAGTAATGTATTAATAACAAAGCAAGAGCACTCGAAGAGCAAAGCAACGGGGTGGGAGGGGGAACAGGATATTTTCCTCAAGGCTCCAATAACTCACACCATTTCTTAAGTGTTAGTAGTCCAGAATATGATATAAGCACATCGGAAATGAATACAAACAAGAGCAAGGGAGTGAGCGGGAAAAGAACAGAACTGGGAAAATGTGCTCTTTGCCCAGTCCCCTAGCGTCCCTTTTTTTCTCTGCCCCGCACCCAAAGAAGTTTACCTGTGGTGACAGGAAAACCCAGGGAGAAGGTAGTGTGGTGCTCAGGTGAGTTAATGTCTGGGTTTCCAGGTGGTGGTCGCCCTGAGGGGAAGGGGAGGGGAGCACTTACTTTGAGCAGCTTGCAGCGGATCTGCGCCGAGACCATGTGGCTGTTGCGCAGGTTGCCCACCCGGAACATAAGCGTGAGTTTTCCGTCCCTCATGGAGATGACCGCGTGCTCGCTGAACATGAGGGTCTCGGCGCGCTTTTTGGGCTGGGACATCTTGATGAACATACAGCCGATGAGGAAAGCGTCCACGATGGAGCCCAGGATGGACTGAAAGAGGAAGAGAATGATGCCCTCGGGGCACTTGTCGGTGATGTACCGGTAGCCATAGCCGATGGTGGCCTCGGTCTCGATGAAGAAGAGGAAGGCAGAGGGGAAGTTGTAGACATTGGCCACGCAGGGGGTGTAGTTGCCGACGTGAGCTTTGTTCAGGTCGCCCCGGGTGTAAGCTATCACCCACCACATGGACGCCATGAAGAGCCAGGCCACAGTGTAGGTGAGGATGAAGATGAAGAGGTTCCAACGCCACTTGAGGTCCACCAGAGTGGTGAAGAGGTCCGAGAGGTAGCGGCTGGTCTCGCTGCCCAGGTTGCCGTGCTGAACATTGCACCGGCCGTTCTTGTCCACGAACCGCTGCCGTTTCTTCTTGGGTACAAGCTGCTGCTGAGGGCCCTGACCCGGCCCCTGCGGCTGCAAGCCCGAGCCGCTAGACGAGGTGGTCACTACCTGGTAATCGTCCCCAAATTTCCTTCGGAGTGCAGACATAATACGGAGGGGAGAGCCAGATTCAAATGCGAAGCGAAGGCGCAGGAGCCAAGCGCTGCAAACCAGCACCAAAAAGGAGGTGGGGGCGGGGGAGGAAAGGTGGGGGCAAAATCAGGCGCTCCTGGGGTGGGGGACGCACCCGGCAGGGAGCTGCGGTCTCTGGCCGAGCAGGTGCCTCGCCTTCTCCCCTGGGACGGAGGTTTTCTTTCCAAGCTGAGTCTTACAAAATAAAGTGTTCTCCGGCACTCAAGGCAGAAGGGATGTAAGGACCAGGAACCCAAGTGCAATTTTGCCTCCAAGCTTTTCGAGGCTCCTCTTTTCTGTCCCCACCACCGGCATCCCGGGCCACCTCTTACCTTTCCACAGCCTTCCTGACTATCCTGCGACACCTCCAAACTGACTGCTTAAAATTAATGAGTTGACAAGCAATTCCCACCCCACCTGCCACCTCGTCAGGCTGCCAAAGCTGAGCTACCTGCTTGGGCCAGACCCTCCCCCCCCCCACAGCTCCCAGATCTCACGCCCCCCACCCCCTCCCCGGGAGGTCTCCTCGCTTGCCCTGGCGCTCCCGCCTCCTATCTTTTAGCCAAAATCCCGCCCAAAGGCATGTCTGCAGGGCAGTGGTGCAACGCCCCCTACCCACGCCCTCTGGCTCAGAATTGCTGGTTCCGGACTCCAGAGACTTGTGCGCCTGACGAGCGCAGGCGGCCGAGTTCTCACGGGCGCCACCAGAGCCCTCAGGCGGACCCTGAAGGGTCGCTAAGACACCCCCGCAATCCGGAGAGTGTGCAAAGCCGGACACTCACCCAGAGGGAAAGGGCAGAAGGCGGCGGCGCAGCAACTGGCAGCGGCAGCCTAGCCTCGCACCCTGCGCTCAAGGCTGTTTTCCTTGTTCCTACTTTTTCTGGTGTACCACGATTGGCGCCAGGGCAGATCCCTCAAGCTCCACACCTCCTGGAGGGCAGGCACCACACTGTCCTGGCTAGAAGGTCCTGGCGTGCCGAGCACAAACTGACTTGGGCGCGGGACTCTGGGGTTTCTTGGCGTGGTGTTCTCCTTCCAGGCGACAGCGATAATGCTGGATGAGGTTTGAGCCTTGGGCTGCAGGTCAGACTTTCAGGTTAAACACTAGCACCGCTCCAGCTCTGTCCTATGTCTCAAGGTAGAAACCTTTACTTCTTCCTTCCTCGACTCCTCTACTCCCTGTCTGCGCCTCGTTGGCCCCGGGTGGAGGATGCCAGGCGCAGGCAGAGGCGGCGGGAATGAGGTGTGTGTGCTGGTGCGTGTGATCAGCTGCAGAGCCGCGCTAGCCCCGCCTGTCCCTGCCCTCCCCCGCTGTTCCACCAGCCTGAATTGCACCTCCGCGCCTCAGTTGAGCCTGCAGTGTCTGGCAGCTCAGGAAAAGCGAGCCCCTCCAATGAAAAGCGACTCTAAATCTGTTCCAAACGCCAGCCAACTCTCCTTCCTCATCCCCCCACCCCGCCCAGAATCAATCAGAAAGCCCCCAGCAAGAAGTGAATGTTGCTCTCTGAAAGAAGAGAAGTGCAATACGTCTCTAGAACTAGGGCTCTCATTTAAAGGAATGCCTGGATTGGGGGAGGCTTCAAAAACACAGAACCCCCCTGGCTCCAAGATAGGCATATTCAGAACTCGAAGTTGCAAACGCAGAGGGGCTTTAGGATGGGACCAGAATGCAGGGGAGACATTAATAGGAACGTTCCTAATCCTTTCTGAAAATGGCTTTATTAAAAGGACTCAGAATCTGTAGAGTTAATGTGTGGCCGTAATTGAGGTAAAAAGGCTGGATGTTAATGGCCCCAGCCTGGCAGTTAACATAATGGAGGGGCAAAGTGCAAAAATAGCTAATACAGTGCCCATTTACAGTGAGTAAATGCCAGCTCATGTGCCCATTTCATGTTTGTTTTAAAATGCCATTGTATCTTAACATATTTCAGTCAATCCAGATACATAAAGTTGATTTTGTTGGAAAGTCATCAAATCATGTTGTTATAAAACAAAGGGATGTTCTGTGCAAGGAAAAATAAATACATAATCACTCCCCCAATTCCCTGCCAATAGCCACTCCCTTCTGCCTCTCTACCCCTAAACCTTAGTGCAGGCAAGTGTATGTCTGCCATAGTAGGAGACTCTCACTGTCACTTTATTAAAAGATCTATCTCCAGTTACAGGTGCTTCTCCTACAAGCTCTCTGATAAGAGGTCAGTAATTTTCTGTTATACTTTTAGGATTACATAAGTAGGGAAAGTGACACCCTGGGAAGTGAATACTGCTCTGGTCCTGGAGTCATAAGACCTGATTTGTATCTCCACTATCTCATTTACAAGCTGTGTGACCTTGAGCAAGTAGCTGAACATTTTTAAGCCCCAGTTTTCTCCTTTTAAAAAATTGGGAGTTTTACATTTGCCCATTGTTGATATGAGAAAAAGAGTGAATGTGGTTTTATTATTTTTATTCTGAAGGATGTTATATACTGGGCTGTTAAGTTTCAACAAAGCGAAGAAGAGATTATGAATGGGTTTCTGGAGTTGGCATCACACTGTGAACTAACATATATTCTCATCTCATCTCTGACTACTCCCCCTCAGTTCACTATGCCCTTGGCAAGCTAGCTTCTTCTAATTCCTGAAACACATGAAGACATAAGCCTATCTCTGGCCCTCTGCACTGTCTGCTCACTCTACCTACAATGTTCTGACACTCCATGCTCCTGCAGTCATTCAGCTGTCAGTTGCAGCGCACCCTCCTCTGGAAAGTCTTGCTTAGTACCCAGATCCTCCTATCACATCAACCATCTTCATGACACTTTTTCTTCATTGATTTGAAGAAACTAATTACTAATTTATTTGAAGAAAGCATCACTACCAGTCATAGATCATGGGATCTACAAGAGCAAGCACCCTGTCTCTCCTGTTCCCTGCTATGTCCCCAATACCTAGAACACTACCTGTCACATGCTAGATCAATATTTACTGGATTAGTAATACGTGCTAATCTATGTCCCTAGAATCTCTACATGCATTGAAACTCTCTCTAAGTCATCACTAAATCAGGTCACTTTATATGACTTAATATAAAAAAATGTAAACATTCTAAAAAAGAGTAAACTTTCCTGTGCTTGTTGGCTTTAAAATTGGCATTCAGCCAGGCCCCAGGTCCTTTTGATTTTAGTCCAATGTCTCTGGAGCAATTTTCCCACTCTTTAAAAAAAAATGCCACTACCCTTCTTTAAGACCCACTTCATTTTAGGCCTAAACTTAAAGGATTTTCTTGACTTCATTCAGTTTTTCTGTCCTTTAAACTGTTCTAGATAGTATTATTAGATCTATTGGCTTAGAATCATATGTTTGCCATTGTAATAAAAGCCAAATTAGTCTTCAGTTTACTTCTATTTCCAAGATTTTAAATATTTTGAAAATACACTTTTCCATGAAAAAGTCTTTGCCAGCCATTTTCTAACAATCAAAATTATGAACAAATAATTTTGTACTTTAAAATGCCCAGCCTACTCTAATCTTCTCATTTTACAAGTGAGCCAATAGAGAATCAAAAGAGCAAATGACTCACTCTATGTTGCAAAGTAGGTAAGTGGAGACTGAGATCTGAACCCAGGCAGGACACCCCCAGAACCTGTGTGCTCCACTGCCTGTTGCCAGCAGTTATAAAAGAATCTAGGCCTCCTAACCCATATGAGAGCCTCCCTCCTCTACAGACCAGGTTTCTCATTGATGTTGAGATCTAAAGCCCTCCAATATGTCCTACGGTAATCTTCCAGATTATTTCCTACCTTCATGCCCTACATTAATTTCATTTGCTCTCCTTATTTCTCATCACTTATAATGTCCTTTTCCTATCCCTGTGAAATCCAAGCCACAGATGCTAGTATCCAAGGGCATGAAAGAATTTCTTCATATTTTATTCCAGTGGCAGCTTCTTCCATAAAGCTTCCCTTATCCTCCCATTAACAATAATCTATCCATTCTCTACTCTGATTCCTGTTGATTTGCAATGTGGCATTTTTCATATTTGAACTTATATTTCATCTTAAAATTCACCAATATTCTCCCAGTGAAAGGGAAAGCACACTGAGCATCCACCTGCTACTATTCTGATGCTATCTAGTACTTCAGTTGTCCATCCTAGTCTCACATATGCCAAATATTCATTACAGTTTTGGGAAGCCCTAACTATTATTAAGAGACCACTTTAATGTACCAGACTACGTGCTTGGAATGTAGTAATTGTATTACATAGCTAGAAAAACAGTGGAGCAGGGATTCCAAAACATATTTGCTCATTTTTCAAGCTCTCTATTCTTTTAGAGACACAGTAGTTCCTGATAAGTTAAATATTTTAAAGGATGCCATCATGTCACACTTTGAATATGACTGAAGCTTTGACCTCTCTGTGACATTGAGTCCAACTCCTTGAAAATACTTATAGATGAACCAAACTCATCTTTCCCTGTAAGGACAACTGCCTCCAGTATGAGGTTCTGGAATACAGCCAGCCCCACCATGCCAAAGCCAGGCAGTATGTGTGGGGAACAGATGACAGAAGGCCACCTAATCAGGTGCTTTCTGATGATCTGAGGGGAAACTCTGTAAGCAGAGTAGGTCAAAGGAGGATAAGGCATAGAATTTCAGACCAGGACACAAAAGTCAATAAAATCTAGAAAATGTAACTGCAGAATAAACAATCAATTTTTGGCATCTAATATTCAAAGATAGAGTAGTAGATTGTAAGCAAACAAATACAGATTCCATGGGGACAGGGGTTCTAAAGCTTCATTTAACAATAAACTCCAATAAGAACAAACTACATATTTATTCTTTCTGGAAAGAACTTCTGACAATGTCTATTTGTCCAAAATTAGTAATATCCTGAAAACTGTAAGAATGAAGAATATGAGTTTGTATTCTTATTAAAAATCATGACTTTGTACATACAATTATGCTATTATGTAACTGAACTGGGTGAGGAAAAGAGTGTATCAAATATAAAAGAAAAAAACCTCTGCC